AAGCCCGGGTCCCCGCGCACAGCCGCGGCCGTTGTCCCGCACGAGCGGCTCCAGGCGCGGGTCCCTCATGATGTCCCTCCACTCCACCGTGTCCACGTGGCAGAGCTGCGCGTTCTTCTCGATGTACACCCCCCCCGCCAGGATCTCTGCGGACAGGGGGACAACGGGGTGACAGGGGGTGACAGGGGGTGACATCGGGGTGACATCGGGGTGACATCGGGGTGACAGGGGGTGACAAGGACGGACAGACCCCCCCAGACCCGCCTGGTAGAGCAGGAACAGGACAGGAACCTTGGGGACCATCCCTGCTCCAAGGGACAGCACAGAGGACGGGGGACATGAGGGGGTGACAGGGGGTGACAAGACAGACCCCCCGGCCCCCCACAATGTCCCCAACCCTCCATGATGTCCCAAGTCCACCACGGTGTCCCCAATCCTCCATGATGTCCCCAACCCACCACAATGTCCTCAACACTCCACGATGTCCCCAAGCCCCGTGATGTCCCCAACCCTCCATGACGTCCCCACCCTCAAAGATGTCCCCAGCCCCTGTGATGTCCCCAACTCCTACGATGTCCCCAACCCCATAATGTCCTCAACCACCCAATGTCCCCAATCCCACAATGTCCCCAACCGTCAATGATGTCCTCAACCCTCCACAATGTCCTCAGCCCCTGCAATGTCCTCAACCCCCTGTGATGTCCCCAGCCCTCAATGATGTCCCCAACCCCACACAATGTCCCCAACCCTCCATGATGTCCCCAACACCCCAAAATGTCCCCAACCCCACACAATGTCCCCAACACCCCAAAATGTCCCCAACCCCACACAATGTCCCCAACCCTCCATGATGTCCCCAGGCCGGTGTCCCCGGCCCACCACGATGTCCCCAAGCCTGAGTGGTGTCCCCAGGCCGGTGTCCCACCCGTGAGCTGGTTGAGGCCGAGCTGGCGCAGGGCGTGGGTGGTGTTGGGGTTGTAGTTGAGCAGCACGAAGAGCGCGAAGCGTTCCTCGTAGAACTGCGTGCCGCGGATCACGCGCAGGTTCTGCAGCGGCAGCGCCGAGAACACGTTCATGGCGATCAGGATGTAGCCGGTCACCTCCCGGATGGTCTGCGGGGGGCTCGGGGTCACCTGGTGGCCATGGCCAATGTCCCCGGGGTGGACATGTGGCCCTCAAAATGGCCATGTCCTCCAATGGATGGTCACGGTCCCCGTGGTGGACATGTCACCTCAATGGTCACGTCCTCCCCTCAATGGCCATGGCCCCATGTCCACATGTCCACCTGGCCATGTCCTCCTTTTGATGGTCACTGTCCCCGTGGTGGACATGTCACCTCCTCAATGGTCACATCTTCCCCTTGATGGCCATGGTCACGTGTCCAACTGAACATGTCCTGCACATGGTGGCCATGGCCCCCATGGTGGACATGTGACCTCCTCAATGGTCACATCTTCCCCTTGATGGCCATGGTCACGTGTCCAACTGAACATGTCCTGCACATGGTGGCCATGGCCATGGTCCCCATGGTGGACATGTCACCTCCTCAATGGTCACGTCCTCCCCTTGATGGCCATGGTCCCATGTCAAACTGGCCATGTCCTGCACATGGTGGCCATGGCCATGGTCCCCATGGTGGCTGTGTCACCTCCAAACTGGCCATGTCCTCCTTTTGATGGTCACTGTCCTCGTGGTGGCTGTGTCACCTCCAAACTGGTCATGTCCTCCTGGCCATGCCCTGCTTTTGATGGTCACTGTCCCCGTGGTGGACATGTCACCTCCAAATTGGTCATGTCCTCCTGGCCATGCCCTGCTTTTGGTGGTCATTGTCCCCATGGTGGACATGTGGCCCTCAAACTGGCCATGTCCTCCAACTGATGGTCACGGTCCCCATGGTGGCTGTGTCACCTCAATGGTCACGTCCTCCCCTCGATGGCCATGGCCCCATGTCCACATGTCCAGCTGGCCATGTCCTGCACATGGTGGCCATGATCCCCATGGTGGACATGTGACCTCCTCAATGGTCACATCCTCCCCTTGATGGCCATGGTCCCCATGATGGACATGTCATGCCCAAACTGGCCATGTCCTCCTTTTGATGGTCACTGTCCCTGTGGTGGCTGTGTCACCTCAATGGTCACATCCTCCACTTGATAGCCATGGTCCCACATCCACATGTCCAACTGGACATGTCCTGAACATGGTGGCCACTGTCCCCATGGTGGCTGTGTCACCTCAATGGTGACGTCCTCCCCTTAATGACCATGGTCCCGTGTCCACATGTCCAGCTGGCCATGTCCTGCACATGGTGGCCATGGTCTCCATGGTGGACATGTGACCACCAAACTGGCCACGTCCTCCCCTTGATGACCGCAGCGATGTCCCCTCTGAGGTCCCTGTCCCCTCTGAGGTCCCTGTCCCCTCTGAGGTCCCTGTCCCCTCGGAGCTGGCCACGTCCCCCCCTCGGCCACCCCCGCGTGTCCCTGGGGGTCACCTGGAGGAAGGAGAGGTCCTGGGTGTGGTCGATGAGGACGATCTCCAGGTTGCCCATGACGATCTCGCAGTTGTTGTACATCTTGTGCAGGGTCTGGTACTGGTGCTGCGCGTCGCCCGTCACGCTCAGCCCGTTCAGCGTCCCCGCGCACACTGCGGGCACCACCGCGTCACCGGGGCCACCGCGGCCACCACGGCCACCAGGGTCACCGGGGCCACCGCGGCCACCAGGGCCACCAGGGTCACCGGGGCCACCATGGCCACCAGGGCCACCGGGGCCACCACAGCCACCAGGGCCACAATGGCCACCAGGGTCACCAGGGCCATTGGGGCCACCAGGGCCACCACGGCCACCAGGGCCACTGGGGCCACCAGGGCCACCACGGCCACCAGGGCCACCACAGCCACCAGGGTCACCGGGGCCACCGCGGCCACCAGGGCCATTGGGGCCACCAGGGCCACCACAGCCACCAGGGCCACCAGGGTCACCGGGACCACCATGGCCACCGGGGCCACCAGGGCCACTGGGGCCACCACCATGGCCACCACAGCCACCAGGGTCACCAGGGCCACCAGGATCACCAGGGTCACCAGGGCCACCAGGATCACCAGGGTCACCGGGGCCACCGTGGCCACCATGACCACCAGGGCCACCACGTCACTGGGGCCACCACAGTCACCAGGGTGACCAGGGCCACCAGGGCTACCAGGGCCACCACAGCCACCATGGGCAACGGGGCCACTGGGGCCACCACAGCCACCCCTGCACGGTCACAGCAATGTCCCCTCCCAGCTGGCCATGTCCTGCCCGTGGTGGCCACGGTCGTGGTGGTTGTGTCACCTCCTCATGGCCATGTCATCCCCTTCACGTCCCTTGATGTCCCCAACCCCTCCAAACTGGCCACGGTCCCCATGGTCGCTGTGTCACCTCCTCAGTGGTCACAACGTCCCTTGGATGGTCACTACTCCTGTCCCCTCAGAGCTGGACATGTCCTGCCCGTGGTGGCCCCCGTGGTGGCCCTGTCCCCTCCATGGTCTCCTGGCTATGGCAGTGTCCCCATGGGGGTTCTGTCCTTTCCATGGTGTCCCCTGCAAACGTCCCCACCCCTCCATGGTGTTCCCCTTCAGGGTGTCCCTGTCCCCTCCACCACGTCCTTGTCTCCTCCATGTCCTTGTCCCCTCCACCATGCCCCTGTCTCCTCCATGTCCTTATTCCCTCCATGGTGTCCCTGTCCCTTCCATGGTGTCCCTGTCCCCTCCATGTCACCCAGCCCGCGGTGTCCCTGTCCCCTCCATGTCCCTGTCCCCTCCATGTCCCTGTCCCCTCCGTGTCCCTGTCCCCTCCACGGTGTCCCTGTCCCCTCCATGGTGGCCGTGTCCCCTCCACCACGCCCCTGTCCCCTCCATGTCCTTGTCCCCTCCATGTCCCTGTCCCCTCCATGTCCCTGTCCCTTCCATGGTGTCCCTGTCCCCTCCATGTCCCTGTCCCCTCCATGTCCCTGTCCCTTCCACGGTGTCCCTGTCCCTTCCACGGTGTCCCTGTCCCCTCCATGTCCTTGTCCCCCCCATGTCCCTGTCCCCTCCATGTCCCTGTCCCCTCCACGGTGTCCCTGTCCCCTCCGTGTCACCCAGCCCGCGGTGTCCCTGTCCCCTCCGTGTCACCCAGCCCGCGGTGTCCCCCTCCCCGCCGCTCTCCCCGCCCCGGGTCCTCCCCCGCCGCTCCCTCGCGGTCCCTCCCCGCTCGCGGTGCCCGAACCGGCCGGGCGAGCCTTGCGCAAGGCGGGCGCCTCGGGCACGGCCCCGCCACGCCCGCCCGGACTTCGGCCCCGCCGCCGCCGCCGCCCGCGGGCCGAGCCCCGCGCCCGCCCCGCTGCGGGGTCCCGGCGGGGGCGGCGGCTCGGGGTCCCCCGGTTGTCGTGCGGGCGCACAGGGCCCCCTTTGTGCGCGGGGCCGGCACCGCACAAAGCCGCGATTGTGGCGGGGGACGCCCCCCAAACCGGGACCCCCGGGGGCACCGAGGGGCGCGGGGCCCCCCCGGATCCGCCAGCCGTGACTCAGGCCGGGGCGCGGGGAGGGGGGGCCGCGGTCAAAGGCGGCTTTGTCCGGCCCGGGACCCCTCCGGGGGCGGCGGCGGAGCTCGGGGCACGCACGGGAAGGGCCCCCCCGGCCCGGCCCGGGCCATTTGAGCAGGGAACGGGGCTATAAAAAGGTCCCAGCTGCGACGGCAGCGGCCCCGGGCCCCGCCGCACCGGGGAGGGGCACGGGGGGAGCCCGGACCGGGGGGTAATGCGACCCCCGTGAAACACCGGGGGGGACCGGGGGGGACCCCAAGGTGCCGGGGGGCAGCATCCAGCCCTGTCCGCCGGCTCCTCCGTTAATGACCCACCGACACCTTCAAGGCTCCGAGGGTCCCGCGGGGGGATTTTGGGGGGCCGCGACCCCCGGTTGCACCTGCCCGCGGGGGGGTGGGCGGCGATGGTGGGACCCCCCCGGTTCCCCCCGGGCGCCGCGGCGGCGGCGGGACCGGGCGTTATCAGCGCGGGGCCCCGCCGGCAGCTCCGGCACGTCCCCGCTATCAACCGCGTGCCACCGCGGCCCCCGGCGCCAGGAATAGCACCGGGGGCACCGGGGGGGCACCGGGGGGCACCGGGAGGGGCTCGGAGCGACCTCCTGCCCTCGGTCCCGGCGGCGGCACAAAGGGGGCTGTGTGCGTGCCGGGCCCCGAACAAAGGGGGCTCTCAGAGCCGGGGTTTGGGGGGTGCAGAGCTGGGGCCGCTCCCGGGGTGTCCCCGGGGTGTCCCCGGGCCCCCCGAGTGTCCCCGAGCCCCCCGAGTGTCCCCGAGGCTCCCTCTGTCCCCTCGGATCCGGAGCCCGTGGGTGGCACCCGAAGCGTCGCCGGTGGCACATGGAGCGGGGGACACAGCGAGGGGTCCCCCCGGTGTGCCCCCCACCCCCGGGCACCCCCGGGCACCCCCCCCGGGCACCCCCCCCGGGCATCCCCCGGTGTTTCGGGGCGGCGCCGGCCCCACCTGCGCGTCCAGCCCTCGGTGTTTTTCCTTTGGGGATTGAAAAACAACTCCCGGGCGGCCGCGGCCCTTCCGGGGTACCGGGGGTGCGGGGCGGCCTCGCGGGACGGCACCGGGGGGATCCTCCGGGGGTCCCCCGCTGGAAGGATCCCCCCCACCCCCGACCCCCCTCGGGGGTCCCGCCCGGAGCCCAAAAGCATCGCCGGGCTCGGCCCCGCAGCCTAAAATTAGCCCGGGCAGCTGCGGGGCCGCAGGTGTCGAGCCCGGGAGGGGACACCGAGAACGGGAGGGG